TCCCCACAATGGTTTGGCATAGGGAAGAGGGTGGCATCAAATGGCGTGGCAGCTTCAAGAAAGCCACTGATCAACATCTATGGCATTTGAAGGAGGAGTGCTTAGAAACGGGGGAGTCTCGTCATCGGGGCACTATGGCCATCTATGTGGATGATGTTCTTTTGGCAGCGGAAGATGCGGTGGCTGTCAGCGCTTTGCAATCGATAGCTGCAGTTTGGGAATGTGCTGACGCAGTGCAGGCGACTTTTCATGAGCCTGTGGGTTTTTGCGGCTTTGAAATTCAACAGAATGAAGCCGAACATGGCGGTGGCTATCGTCTTCACCAGCTCAGCAATCCTGACACACCGACGCCTCAACGCACACGAGCCACGCTTGACATGCTTGACATGGACATCTTCAGCCGATCTGCCGATATGTCCATGTCAACCTGTATCTTTTGATTTTAGAGTCTTCAGCTTAGAGCCTTTCAGCATGTACCGTTTGGCGGCAGAGAACCCCAGCTTTCAGGCGCTTTCGCTTTCGTCCATCTCTATCACGGACCTTCACAAGAACGAAATGCCTTCAGCCCTGCCGGAGGATACAAATTTATAATCAGTTTATCATTAAAATATATTAAAATAACCTCTGGCACCTGTGCATGCCCTCTGGTACATGCCCTTGGTAACATTATACCAAGAAACCATATTGCCATATGGATGGAGTTGGGAAGCGAGTGGCGTGTCTGCCAAGTAGACAGTTTCAGGTCCACAGTGAAGCGGCCGACAACAAAAACAAAGGCCTGCGTCTATCTGCAACACCTGTGTTCGAGCTTTCTTTGTCTGGTTACATGAACCTGAGTGCGCTAAGTACGCTTGGATGTTTATCCGGGTTCCGGCGAGTTCAGGCCTCACAATTTGACACTCTTTCGTTTGTTGATTTTGTATCAGGACATGGAAGTATCTTCAGTCATGCTTTGGCGATGGCTAATATATTGTGGTCTCAGCATCAATGTATTTCCAGCGCCTTCTCCACAAACCAATAATGAATGCCAGGCGATAGAAATGACTCGGGCGAAACCTGCGCAGCTTTCACTCAATAAGAAGCAACACGTGAATGCGCCCTCTCATTTCAAACTGTCAATGTGGTTTGCAATAAGGGATGGCTTCATTTTTCCCCAAACTGTTGTCACACTTGGGGCTCTTACGGTCATAGAAAAGCACGGGTTCGGTTAGGGTAGCGGGATACGTCGGGGGCTAAATTCGTCGACCCTCTCGGCGAAAATGTTCCAGGAGTTTCCGTTTTAAGCAAGTCTCGCACGAAAACTGGCCGTGGGGAGCTGTCTTCCGGAGGTACGTTCTTGCTTGCGCGCCGTGCGCTTTTGCGAAATTCGGAAAATGCAAAACGTGAGGGTCTTTGCAGGTACACACATTCTTCGCAGGGGTTGCTCAAAATCAGAGGTGGAAAGAAATAGGGAGCCGACGCCACACATAAAATCTAGACAGCCTCATCTGGCTGGTGGGCAAAAAATTAAATGACCGGAGGACCCCACATGTGAAGCCTTCGAAGGAAGAAAGAGGTGTAAGAGAGAGGAGCCGGAGTGAGCGAGTTTGAGTGAGTGAGTGAGGGAGGGAGTGAGTAAGTGAGTGAGTGACTGAGTGAGTGAGTGAGTGAGTGAGGGGAGTGGGTGAGTGAGTGAGCGGATGAGTGGTGAGTGAAGGAGGCAAGTAATTGAGGTGAATGAATTGGGTGAGTTGAATGAGTTAAAATGAAGTGGGTGAGTCGAGCGAGTGAAGTGAGGTGAGTAGGATGAAGGAAGTGAATTAAAGGAGAGTTGAGTGACATGGGTTGAGTGGATGGAGGATTAAGTTGACAAGATCTCTTTGTCAAATCCCTGAAAAAAACTTTGTTTAAGATCTCTGGGGCTTCCTACAGAGACTTGAAAACAAGCACCGCGTCAGACGAAAGCGATCCAACATGCACAAAGTACGCAGAGGGTTGCACGAGCGAAATCAAAATGAGCACCGTGCGCAGGCGCGACACCAAAAAAAACAGAGGCGCTAGAGACAACTGACGTCACCGCGCCAATGTGATTTGCGATTCTGCATTTTTTAACAAAACTGCGGCTGCCACGAAAAAACTGACCCCAAGGCATTCGAAGTCCTGCACCTGTCACGCGAAATCATGTCAACATAAGCGCTCAAAAAATGACGACCGTCTCACAAAACGAGCGTGTCGAGGTCTCCAAAAGAGCCTTCAATATCACCAAATACTGCGTGTGCCACGTAACTAATGAAGCCAAAAGGGGGCGGCGAAAAAACATGTAATCATGTAGTCCAAGCAACTTCAAATGACTTGATTTCAAAATTGAAAGTGAACATCAGTTGCATGACTTTTCAAGTGGCACCAAATCTTTGGCAAGATTTTGTCAAGTACGTCTGCAGGTTCGGTATAGCCCTCAAAGTTAGAGCATGTGAAGTAAACCGTAAGAAAAACGTGAGCGGATTTTCTGAAGAACATCTGAAGCATCAAAAGAGCATTAAATGCGACCACTGAAGGACACCCAAGGGCACCTTCTGAGCTTCTCTGGCTGCGAACACTTCGCCGTCCTCATGGTTCGACGCTAGGAAACTTTGCCTTTTAACTTGGGTTCCTTTGGACTTCTTTGGATTTTATATGATTTTATATTTTGTTGCATGTTTTGCAGCTACATTGAAGTGAACTAAGGTTCAAGAGCGTTGAAGAAAAGCAACCCTACAAACAACAAGATCAACAAGCAAGTGCTCCTTAGGAAACCTTCAAGGAAACCTGCTCAAAACCAAAACCTGCTCGGAGGAAGCACGGGTTTCGCACTGCAGTGATGTGAACTGGGTTTCGCACTCTCTCGAGATGCATGGCACGAGGGCTCAGGCTTTCCAATACATTCAACAACATTTTCAACCGAAAAAAAAACACCACACATATGTAGCAACCGTATTGACACAAACGTATTGACACAAGAGCCCGATGTAGTCCGATACCAGGTGTCATATAATTTACGTTCAGATTCTTGAGGCATGTTACAACTGTTACGTCAGTTTTAATGTCATGATCTTTGAACTTCGAACTCGTAGGAACTGTGAACCACAAAGCAAGATCGCGCAAACCAATGAGTTTGCTACCGACAAAGAAATATCTATGCCATCTATGCTCCAAACAACTGGAGGAGCCGTGGGCTGGTGTGCAACAAGCACCCAATTTGTCTGCAGAGGTTTGCTTGAAAAATCTTTCAGAGCTCCAACTCCCTCAATGCAAACTACATCCAACTGAATGTAGTTTGCATCCGAAAGTGCATTGTTACATTGTGGTGAATGTACTTTGTGTTCAAAATAAATGCGAAGTAGATTGAACAACGTATCGTTGGATGCAAAGTACATTGAGCAATCGAAGGGCAAAGCACGGTGAATGTACATGGTTTGAGGGGTAAAATCGCTGGCAGTGATACTTCAAAAGATTTTAACCTCAAGTGGCTAGTCATGTTACCTTTTGTCCAATGTCAGGGTCATTGCAGTATCACCTCTGTCCCGTCCTTGCGAAAACAATTGATTCCTAGCTTCCTTCTTGGAAATAAAAAAGGCGCCAGACAGGTATACCACAAATGCTATCATAGAATTATTCTCATTGTTCAATGGGTTAACCTGTAGAAGTTTGGGCCAGCTATTCCAATGTTATTACAGTGCCAGTAAATTCATTTCTAGTGGTTATCCTTACATAGTAGTAATCACACTGGACACTAATCTTCATCTGATGGGCCAATCACCTGCAACGACGGCAGAAATGTCACCCTTTTACAAGTTAGTGCACCCACCCACTAGCCATAATTATAAACTCTACAATTCCAAAGTCAATCTAGTCCAAAAGCACAAGTTCGCAAACTATGGGGCACCACTTTGCAGGACTCCACTGCACTCCTTTTGTCTGCGAATGCACCGCGCGGCTCGGTGCACTGCGCAGCCGCTTCGCCCCTTTGCCGCTGCGGCGCGCATCTCACCTGAAGGTGCAACGCATGGGAAAAAAAGGAGTCACCGGTGGAAATCTGAAGGAAACCCAGCACAGGTCAAAAGGATACTATAAACGATTTATGCAACCCAAACCCTTATAAATCAATTTGCCATTTCTGGCTATGTCACACTTCTGTGGGCATGCTGCATGTGTGGCATAGGTCTCTCCAGACTTTGGCATGAATTCTTTCGACCGAGCTTGTTCCCACCCACCAAGCCCTCAACAAATTTGGAAGGCGATCCGTATTGGTCATTGAATCCATTTGCCCGTTCTAGGTATGTCACAGTTCTGTGGGCATGCTCCATGTGTAGTATAGGTCTCTCCAGACTTTGGCATGGAATCTTTCGACCCAGCTTGTTCCCACCCACCACACCCCCAACAAATTTGGAAGGCGATCCGTATTGGTCATTGGACTAAGCTGTTCAAGGGAGCCTGAGTTCGATCCCAGCCTACCAAAAACATTTGCAGATGCGACACATCCCTTAAAGCAGGGAGCCAGTCAATCACTCTTTGATTGCAATGGACGCTTTTTGCATCCAGTCAGCAAATCCTTGAGCATTTGAGGCTGATGGCATCTGCATCGGGGCACCATCCCGATCGCAGTCAAGTTCTTGCACGTCCCAGGTCAAGGATAGATTACTTTCTACTTTGGATCCTCAGAGTATGAGTAAAACAGGTCTGTGAGTTGGTGGGTACCCATTTAGCATCCATCAACTGTCATCAACTCATAGATTTTCGTCATTTTCTTCAGAATCAAGGTCCATCGGCAATTTTTTCCATGGAGAATTGCGAGGCGTGGGGTCTGGGTCTTGAGACGTGGCCCACAAATTAAATCGCGACAAAAAAGGGCTGGTGGGGATGAGACTTCTGGGGAAATCTGAAGATTTTGCTTGAAAGGCTGCAGTTCCCTTAAAAAGCTTGGAAATTTGAAAGTTTCCGAAATTGACCAAATCTTGGTGATTCCATGTTTTCTTTCTAGTTATGCTGGATTTTCCTTAGTCTCATCTGGTAGTGTTCCCTACCAAAACTACGGTTCAAAACCCTGACAGCTCTGTTGTCTGAGGGTTAGGTATGGTTGTGCTCTCTCGTGAGTTTGTTTCACAACCTGTCGATGCACTTGAGATCCTCCATGCATTTCACCAGGCGGTCTGCCATCTTCTCCTCACCGGAACGCAGCGACATGCGAGGATCGTAGTACTTCTTGTTGGGCTTCTCAGGCCCCTCGGGGTTTCCAATCCTCAGCTCGGATGCACTCGTGGCATACTCGTGGCAAATGGGAGGCTGGGAGAGGTATGGCATCTGAAGTGGTTACATGAGACTGCACACCTTTCTTCATCATGATAGCTACAGCAACTTAATCCTCCGCGGTTTTCAGATACTGGCTATTTACTCCCAACAAACAGTCCACGACCACAAGCTCAAGCTGTCGCAGAGGATCTGGGCTTGCAGATAGTCCTTGTTCTTCTTCTGGTAGTCATTCATGCCATCCCAGAAGGCCCATTGCCTGGAATTTGCGATGCCCAAAAAAAACCATTGCCCCCCTTGGTTTGGTTGATTTACTAACTTTAGCAAATTCAAAAAAGGTAATCTTGGACATTTCCCAATCAAGTTCGTCTGAAAATAGGGTGCCCACCAAAATTGATGGTTGATCATGATCTTTTCCTCTTAGAATGGCACGTTTATGGGTATAATCCATTTCTGGGATTCATGATTTCTCCGAAAGATTTATTATTCCAATTAGAACACTTCACACAAAGAAACTGTCATATTTTCCCCGTATTTCTCAAACCAAGAGGATTTTCCCCAATGGCAAGTCCCAGCCCATGGTGTTTGCCCATGGCACGTGTCGGTGTCGATGTTCATCTTCACCACGCCCGCTTCGATGGCGTAGCGGATGTCCTCCAAACTGGAGCCGCTGCCGCCGTGGAAGACGAAGGAGACGGGCTTGTCGCTGTCGCAGCCCAACTTCTCCTGCTGGTGGTTGCCATGGTGAGGCTTTCATGGTGTTCTGGTGGGCCATGAAAGCCGCGAAAGGAAGGGTAGTGGATAGGGTTTAAGATCAAATTGAGACAGCGTGATTGTGGTTGATTTCGCTTTTCTGAACCCCTGCTACCACACAAATGAGGGGCTACCCTCTCGTAATCTAACCGTCAAAACAGCCCATGAAAACCATTGCCAGGTTCGACGAGCAAAGGGTGTGTCAAGTGGGGATATGAAACGAATCAAAACTTGGTGACCATGAGTAAACTGGTGAAACCAGCAAGAATCTGTCCCACCAGCTGCAGTATCGGTGAATCTTTAAGATCTGGATGGAAATAGTATCGAAATTGGGTTCTTTCTGCGTATTTTCGAAGCATCCATTTTGGGAGGTGCCATGAGGTGCCCAATCTCGACACCTTCAGGTTCCATTGGTATGGTATTGCACCATGATGACGTGTACCCACGAAAATCATCTGGTTGTTGCGCAAGCACACCGCGGGCACATCCCGACAAAGAATTGCCCTGTGGAGTTTATCATCCCAGCTTTTTGGGATGGAATAATGTATGAAATATGCCCAGCATATCACAGCAAACCACAGCACAACATGAAGACTCCTGTCGCACCTGCACTGATAAGAAGCCATCCGGATGTTGTGAATGAAACAGGCAATTTATGAATAAGGGGGTCCCTCCAAAAAAGTGAGATGATACCAATGACACATCATCCATATTAACATGTTTGGGGAGACTGGTTGTTTACGTCCTTGATGAACTTCTGGGTGTTGTGCAGGATCACTGGCTTCAGGCTCACCTGAGATGTCCAAGACAGGGCTTGTCATGGTACTCCAACATCTCATGGTTTGAAACGTCGGTTTCCTTACAAAATTGCAATCTATTGGGCTATAATCCAATTTTGAACAAATCCATGTAGCTTGGTTTAACCCTGTTTCGCACTAACAGCCACCATCAGAAGCATCACACGTGGAGAAGGAACTGCAGTGTAGCTTCACCATGCGCTGTTGGAAAGGGATATACCCTAAGACATCAAATGTTCGAGCTCAAACCTCATGACCCACCAGCCTCTGTAATGAATACATTCCAACCCAATGGCCTGGAAGATCCCCCAAAATCACAAAAAACATCTAGCTTAAGTGTTTTTCAGACCGCCCAGCTATCAATACTCGCCATCTTTCCTAAGATGGCTACAACCCTCCACCACCCTTTGCACCGACCCAACAAAATTGCAGGCCCCCTCTCATCCTTCACATGGGTTTGTTCGTCTGAAAATTCCATTTGATCACAGCCTCAAATGAATTCATACCCAAAGATTGCCAGTATATCCCCAATTTTCCAACACCAAACCATATCCAGATGAAAAACCAAAGACTATTTTTTTGATCGCAAGTCTCTTTACAGCATCTTAGAATACCTTCTAGTGTTTCTCAAATTTTACTGCAAAAATGTCCACATTTCCGATATCCGCATCATCCACATCGTCCACATGGGTGTGCCTGAAAATGTGGTTTACCCCCAAACGGCCATCAAACGTCATCAAATTATATATTTCTAGTGATGACGCTAAAAAATGGCGACCCAATGGCCCGCCATGATTCACCAGTAGATTTGGGTTTTGCCTTTTCCCACCATCTTCGGGCACCGTTTGGTTTTCCGTTTTCCCCACAAACGGGTTTTGAAGGCACATTGCCCGGTGCATAGACGCCGTGCACGTTGCCGAAGGCCGCGGCCACGGTGAAGTTCCCGTTGGGCACGGCGGACAGCGTCTCGTAGACCTGCCAGACCTCCTCGGGCTGCGTGTAGAGACGCGAGGAATCCACGTCCGTGTTGTCCACACCGTCCTCTTCGCCACCGGTGACACCTGAGATGGGGCGGGAACTTGGGAGCTGTGGGAGCTAAGGGGGGATAGTGGGGGAAATGGCCAGAAATGGTTGATACCTAATGTAAAACCAGGTCTTACGGTATAACTACGGTTTAAAAAATCAAAATGGGTGTTGAGATTGCTATGAACCACATATCAAGTGGGATGCGCATGCAAGTAGCAAACATGGTGGTGATTGCTGGCTGGGAGACATGGAAGTGAGCGGACGTGGGAGGCAAGGGGTAGAGATGTTGGATTGGAGGTGGATGGATGAAGATGTGCTGATGGGTGGAATCTATACACTAATCATCCAATAATGTATATACAAAGTTATATACGTGGAGAAACAGTTGGACACGTCATCCCAGTCAAACAAACAGGAAACATGGTCCAATAATGTCCAATGAACACAAACACATTTTGCTGAAAATAAATCCAACCAGACACCCAATTCCATCTCCAACAGCAAGTTGATCTTGGCCATGCGCTCCAAGTACTTCTTGCAGATGGCGATGTTATCCTCCAGGGATTCCTCGGACAAATCCAACATATGGGAGGAGAAGAGGGGCTCACCGTTCTTCTCGAAGTATTCCTCACTGGCCTGAGCAGAAAGGCTGCTTACCCATTTTTGCATGGCCATAATTCGGGTAAACTCCTGACATCTCCCCAGGGTATGCCCAACAGGTTATCAACTGTATGTCATTGGAGCCACTGGCCTCAATCAAACCATCGAACCATGGCAACCAGGACTTCTGGCAGTGGTCGGTGTGCAGGATCACTGGCACGCCATACAACTTGGCCACCTGAACAGGGATGGGCCCTGATGGGTCAACTTGGAATCTGAAAGGAACCTGGTAGGGCAACTGTGTCTGGACTATATCACATAATTTTTCCATGTTTCCGGCTCAATTCCCATAGTTTTGGGTTTGCAAAATTGAAAACACAATGCTCAAATCTGGCAAACATAGAGCTACCAGACAGATTGCTGTCCGATTTATTCAACACTTTCTGAAATCAAACCCTGCTGTAGTTCACCCATATTCCGCCGATGTTCCACCGGGTTTTCCTCCGTCTTCCGCCTGGCGCACATGCAGTGCCCCTGCCACGGTGCCTGCGATGCAGGCGGCATCGTCCGTGTTGTCCGCCGCCTTGCCAGCCAGGAACTGCCCGCCACCACGGCTGAAGGTGACCATCACCTGGGGATGGAAATGCTGAAAAACCGGGGGGAACCACAGAGAAAACCTCGCTATTCATTATCATGACAAAAATTGAAAATAACACAATTATGATACGTGATGATGGTAATAGTGGTGGTGATGATGATGATGGTGGTGATGATGATGATGGTGGTGATGATGATGGTGGTGGTGATGATGATGATGATGATGGCAAAATTTGGACAATGCATGATGGGTCCCTCCTAAAACCATCGCGACCAAAATGATATGGGCAATTATTTGGAGATATTGACAAACAATACATGACGGTAGCTGTATGGTTGCTCCTTGGGATACAACCCCCAGTAGCCCCATAAACAAAAAACAATCACTAGTGGCCCTATGCAAGAACAATGGGATTTTACCTTCTTGGTTTTGACCAGCAGAACGGGTTGATAGGAACTAACAATGCTGAATGGGGATGGAAGCAATTTACCTGGGGAAAGCACCGGCCCTTCAAGTTGATGTCCTGTTGAAAACCAAAAGAACATTCAATCCAAACACATATATCATCTTGGGCAGCAGAGCGCATGATTGTTTCTTGGGCCCCTCAAGTGGCTTGCCGGCTCCCAACATCCAACTGGCTGCCGCCGGATTTTTCCACCCCAATTGGTGGATCTCCTCGACATTCTAGGAAGTAAAACCCCAAACACCCAAATGTTATTACTGTTGAATTTGTAATGAATAGGTTCAATGAAAGAGCCGATACCACCCCAAAATTCACCAAAATGATTGCCCAAGAATTGGTACATCCCATGGCCATTCTTATGGGGAAAATTGTTTTTCCTACCGTTGGATTTGATAGCGCGCCATTGTTAGACATCCCCGGAACCCCCCCATATGTTAGCCAGTTATTACGCTTGATGATGATCATAGTATTTGAACATCACCAGCCATTGTGCAGGCACCACAATCATCTGTGGCCAATCCTCCCTTTGTTATTTGCCCCATCCAAGCTAGTGATTCCAGCGAGAATAGCGACTACAAGTCGTACCGGGCAAGCTGGGGGCGGAAGTTTCAAAAAACCAGACCCTATAGAGCAAAAAAAAGGTTGTGCCTATAGGGTGTGGGCCAGCATTCTGTCCTGTGCAGCATCCATGTCTTTGACGTCTGACATCTCACCTCATTTCATCTCATCTCGTGCCTTTTCACCTCCTGCTTTCCTTAAGTCTTAAGTCATCTCAGCACATCTCGTCTCATGTCTTCTCTCCTCTTCTATCCTTTTCTCTCCTCTTCTCTCCTCTTCTCAGCTCATCTCAACTCGTCTCTTCTCAAGTCTTCTTAACCCTTCTTTCTTCATCTCAGCTCTTCTCTCTCATCTCACTTATTCTCAGCTCATCTCAGCCTGTCTCATCTTTTCTCAGCCCATCTGAGCTCATCTCAGCCCTTCTCAGTTTTTCTCAGTTCTTCTCAACTCTTCCTTCGTCTCAGCTCTTTTTTGTCATCTCTCCTCAGCTCTTCCCCGCTATTCTTAGCAAATCTCAGCGCTTCTCACCTCACCTCAGCTCTTCCCATCTCATCAGCTCACCTCAGCTCACCTCAGCTCATCTCAGCTCTTCTCAACTCATCTCAGCTCTTTTCAGCCCAGCTCAGCTCTTCGCAGCTCAGCCTCTCAGCTCGTTTCTGGTCCATTGTGATTTGCAAGCAGCGACTTGCAAAAGGCAATAGAACTACATGCGGAACAGCAGCGCATAGAAACAGTGACGCAGCCACTTCGATGCAATTCGCAAGCACCAGGTTGCAGAAGACAATGGAAATACTAATATGTTGGCAAAAAAGAGGCTTCTCCTGTCCAAAACCTTCTCCAAAACCGTCTCCAAAACCGGATCTCGGCGCGAAAGCCATACGATTTTGAACGGAAATTTAAAAGGAAAATGAAAGGCACCAAAAGCAACAACAATCAGAAAAACCCATTGCCGCAATCTTGGCGCAATTTTGTGCGAAAGCTCCTAGCGCTTGGTGACATCGACGTCACCTTTGTGTGGCCACCGTGGCCCTTGGTGACATTGGCGTGGCTTTTGCGTGGCAGGCGTGGCGCTTTCTCTGGTGGCGCGCTTGGTCGCACGTTGCGTTTTGTGTGGCACTGGTGGCACGCTTGGTCGCCCGTGGCGCCGCCGCCTTTTGCGTGGCAGGCGTGGGTGCCACAAGGAACATGCCCAAGTTGGGTTTGCTGGGCATTGGTCCAAGGCCCTGTTCTGATCAAGTCTGCAAACTGTCTGCCCACAGACAGCAGTCATACACCGAACCTGTTTTGCCATACAAGAGCTTGCTGGTTCACCGCATCTGCGCCAATCAATGCTTGCTGGGATGCAAGGAACTGCTGAATTTGTCTGAATTCATCCAAGGCTCCTGGGTTCCTCTGTGGCCATGACCGCAATGGGGAACATCTACTTACAAGCTCAGCGTCGGCACCAGGGCATCTTACCATTGGGGTGCATGCCATAGCTGTTCTTCACGGGTTGGAACTTTGACATCTGGCTGCCGCCTTCAGATCCTCCATGGCATTGACCACGGTGACACCGTGACCTGCTCAGTGATGTCAAAGAAGATGCACTTGAAGGGCGCACCGCTCAAAGCATAGTTGTACTGCGCAGCTACCCTCTTCTGGTCATCTGACATGGTCCGCTCCCACGTCACCACAATGACCCCACCCAGTGAAGCGAAGGATCACTGGTGGCCACCTCTTCGAAAGGTTCTTGGCCGCACTCTCGTACATCATGACCTGCTATCATGAAATTGTTGGCCGCAATGTGCAAAGAGTATCACGCCCGCCACACGGATGGTAAAAGCGTCGGGAGTCTGGCGCCTGTCACGCAAAGCAACGTTCCAGACTTCAACTGGAAATCTCATACCCGCCACAAAAAACGCACGTAGCTCAAAAACGAGACGGTGCGCCGGCAAAAGAAACCTTTGGAGCAGAGAAAAACGAGCCATGCACTTGTTGCAAGCCTGCGCAGGTGAAATACACATGGACATCTCACGAGCCGGCGCAAACAAAAGCTGGGGACCACAACGAGAACCCTGAACGAAGCCGGGCTTTACACCTACCGTAAGAACCCATCAGTGTGCACGCCCTAGTTGGGAATAACTCGCTGACTTGAAATAAGCCACAATAATCAGACACAGCGGCTTTGCCACTTTGGAGTTAGAGTCTTCAATAAAATCTTCCTCAAATAAGGCTATATTGGACTAGCTATTCCTGCTTACCGTCGTTCGAATGGGGTCCCAGTGAGGTCGTTATAATTCATGCAAATTCCCTTATAGTGGTATCATTGCCAGCACGGCAAACCCCACAGTGTTCGTTGCGGATCCCGTGGATCATCTGCCAGGTCACCGGGCCACCGGCCTTCTTGGCGGCCTCCATGCAGGCGTTCACGGAGGAACTGCTGACCACGTTGACGCCGGGGATGGCGAACTCGTTCTCCTTGGCGTAGTTCAATAGGTCCACCAAGGCTTGACCTCAGACATTGATCTGTTATGTTGTTGACACGAAAAACCCACAGAACAACAGAAGGGATACGCAAGGGATTTTCAACAGATTGAAATATGAGAAAGTTGGTGTTCATGTGCCTTTCATCATGCAATAT